GGACGACGTGGTGGGTGGGAGGGTGTGCTGGAGCGACAGGTAACCAGCACTGATTTATACCTGAGTACGACAGGTGGGGGGCAAAGGGCGGCGAGGGAGGGGGAGAGACGCACACACACCTTAACATTATTCTCATATATATTTTTTCGGGAATTCTGACTGAGATTTTCAGGCATTGGAGATGCAAGAGAAGTTGCAGCTGTTCACGTTAGCGTTGTAGAAGGCATAGACAAGATCCCACTTAGCATTCATTACGTTGTTTACAAAAAGGAGCATGTTGTCGGTGCAGTAGTCTCTGTATTGGATTGAGACTCTACTCGATCTTTCACGTCTTGTGGTTGATTTATACATGGCAAAAACTGGGAAGTGATCTGAGATATTGTTATAAATAATTCCACTTGCTAGGTTGTTAGGAGTGTTGTTAGTCCAGATATGATCTATCACAGTGGCAGAGGTGGCAGTTACTCTAGTGGGTTTGGTTATAGTGTTGAAGAAGAGCTTCGTATGACAGGTAGCAAGAAGGTCTAATACTGAGGTGTCGGTTTCTGATTTTAATAGATCAAGGTTGAAATCTCCTGTAATGTAGCAAAGTTTCCTCTCTGAACTTAAAATAGAGATAAGCTCCAAAAAATTTTCAAGAAATTTCTTACACTAGTGTGGGGCCTTCTGTTGACCACTTCTACTAGGATATTTCGTGTGTCGTTACGTAATTCAGTGAAAACACTCCCTGTACTCCTCCTGAACCTTTAAATCATCTCTTACAGGAGTGTTATACTTGCTATCAACATATAGTAGGGCGACACCACCACTGTGGCGTGACTTGTTGACGCAGTGTCTATTATGATTAGGAATGTTATACAAATGGTCAATATCGTTAGTGAGTTTGGTCTCGCAGAACCCAAGTACATCAAACTTGTGGGCAATAAAAGATATACACTGATCCAAATAGGTATCTAGATGAAGGGGAATACTGCTGATGTTATGGCTGATCAAGGAGAAGGAATGAGGTAGTAGGAGACTAGAACTAAACTCGGGGGAGTCAGGAAAGTAATAGTTACAGTTTGGGTTTGTGTAACCCAGTGAGTTTTGTAGAAAGACATCAGGATCGATATGAGGGAGTATTGTGTCGACACCATGGGTAAATGGGGTGTAACATACAATCTAGCACATCTAAGGGAATGACACTAGTATCATTATTGTGGGGACATTGATACTGATTAAGGAACAGTAAAAACTCAGGGTCACTGAGGTGTGAAAAAGGAAGATCTAAGAAAGTAATAATAGCGGGGAGGGGTAACGTACTCACAAGTGTTACAACCAACAGAATTAAGATGACCGGTACTGTTGAGGGTGATTCCCAGGTTGAGTGGGAGGTGCGCCTGTCACTCGGTTTTGAGGGTTGCTGGTTTCCACCACAGAGGGTGGACGTGTAGTACTCGAGTTGGCCGGCAGGGGGGAACTCCTGGGGTGATAGCGACAGTGGGTGATTCCCCTCAGTGGGGAGGGTTCTCGAGGGGCTTTGTGGGGTTGGTACAGCGGGTGGGTGAGTGGGCGGGTGTCCACTTGCCCGATCCTTCACAACAAGTGTTTTATGACTGAACGTCATAAAACACTTTGTCACGGTCAGAGGGGGGATGAGAATTAGGACAACATTTTGCTCTTCTAAAACTGCACAGGAACAGCGCGTTTCTTACTCGGGTCCTCAAGTTGAGGTTTAAACAACAAGAGAAGTATATACTGTAGAGAGTGTATTCTAACATTTGGCGGAAGAATTGAATTTGTATTCGCTAAATTAAACAAAATCCTACCGAGCTAAATATCATCTTCGAACACGTCTTAACTGGTGGTACCATCCCTTGATGACGTCACCAGTGTTTACTCTGGCCGGGGCTGCGATTGTCTGAGAGAATTCCAGGAGGGTGAGAACCACGGCCAGAAATAACACCACAAGGAAGACAGTTTGTTTATCTTGGGGCGCTATGGTGGGTGTGGGTCACTCAGCAAATTTGACACTCAGTCGTATTCCCTGAAGTGATGAAAAGGATTGTTGAGTTGTGAATACTGTTCTGGGCGTTTGTGTACAGTATGTCTCAGAGGCTGCTGCGGTGGTGGTTCTCCCCCCATGTCATTGTGTGAATTTCACTTAAGTTACTGTGGATTTTCTGTCAGTCTAGCACAGACAATTACCTTTACATGTGCGATAAAATGTTATGTAGTTTGATAGTTCACTGTAAAATGTTTTAATATAAGATTGATATATTATAGTCGACTTCAAGACAGGCACACGTCCTCACGCACAGTCGTAGGCAAAACACGTAAATAAAGGCGGAGATATACACATATACATACACCCTCATACACAGACTAGCCATAATAACTATACACATATCCTTCCAGTGGCGGCTCGTGAAAAATAAAATGGAGGGACTGCAAGCCTCACACAACAGTAGGATACACAAATTTGACCTACCTCAGGTATGAGTTGTAGTTGATGTCCACGAATTCCCAGGGCATGGTAGTAGTGTTGGTGGTGATGGACCAGTATTAATTGAAAATAAAGTCGGCGTGTCTGCTCTTCGATGTAGCAAAATTGTTTATTACTATTTCATTAAAATCCTTTATTTCTGTTATCATTTTATTTTCAATGGATATCACTGCTAAAGCAGACAGTCTGTCATTCACCATGGTACTGCGCAAAAAAGTTTTAATTCTCTTCAAAGTTGAAAAGCACCTTTCTGCTTCTGCCGTTGTCATTGGAGTTGTTATTAAAATTTTCAGCAACTTGACAGTGTCTGAAAATGTTGACTGTAGATTATTGTCATTCATCATCTCCAACAAGTCTATGAGACTTTCTGATTTACACAAATCTTCTCTTGTGTACAGTACAGTAAGTTCAGTTCTCAATTTGTCTTTTTCAAGCATGGGATATGCTGCAACTGCTTGTTCAAGTTCATTACTAGGGAAATTTTTGGTATACACTGGAAAATTATTCACTAAAAGTAACTTGCTTGCTTCCAAATGATTAGTAAAGCTGAATCTCTCTCTGCACTGCAGCAAAATTACGTCACAGACCTCCTTTGCAGCAGCTAATTTGTCTGTTTTAAATTTTCTTCTTTTCTGTTCTGTTGAATGGATAAAACTGGTGTAGGTCTTCCTCTTGCTTTGATTTCAGTCTTTTCATTTAATGTCAGCTGGGAAAAGTTGATGTTTTGCAAATACTTCACTCGATTTTCCATCGTCAAAGGGTAATTAAAGAAAGCACGATTTAACCACACCGTCCACACGTTGTACGAGACTGAGCTGCTTCAAGTGAGGCGGCGGCGCCAATTAATAACAGACATGAATCGTACAGCATTGACAGCAACTATGAAAGTAACTTAAATTTTGGTCTGATTTTAATGAAAATTCACTTAGCAATGTATTGAAAATAATTAAATAACATATAAAATGATATATTTGTTGGTAGTGTATTATTCAGCTGTCTCTCTAAAGGAATCATACGCCTGGCAGTGAGTGTCTGGGGGGACTGCAGCCCTATGCACGAGCCGCCACTGTAACCTTCCTAACTTACGTCATATGTAATCACCTTTGAGAAAACCCCGACTGTACGTCAGTGTCATTGAAAGAGAAGCACGAGAGAAGCACGAGAAATATTCAGTTGATAACAAAAGACAAAACCCACGTGTAACTGTTGAACATGCCTGTGTTGTTAACGCATAAGTCACTCTATGGGTGGTATCGACGGTAAGAATGGCACACTGGGGGTTGCTTCACGGATGTTATTGTTAAGATTACCTCCACAGTTTTACACAAGAGCTGCCTTAGTTGACACATAGTTTATAACTCACAGTTTCGAGAGTTTTGAATTAAGGTCTGGTTTGTATATCATTGTGAGAGTATTCTGTTCTACACGGCCCTATATCCGTAGGTCTCTGTTACACTCATCAGCGATAACTGGAAAAAGAGTTAATAAGTATTTATTTTCTTGGACATTTCTGACTGGGTATAGGTCATATGATTAATAATAATAATATATATAGATTAACAGCCTCATACCTAACCTAACCAAACCTAACCTAACCTAACCTAACCTAACCTAACCTAATCTAATCTAACCTAACCTAACCTAACCTCTCTCTCATCAACACGCACATCTGACCCGCAGCTCACAGCTCAGGAAACAGGTGTAAATATCATGAAAAGTTTCTCCTGACTCAGCTGGCCATTTTAAGCTGCGGTGACCAGCAGCCGCCGCCCACCTTGTACACCTTCATATATGTATTTCGAAAGTCTTACCACCGATAAAAAAAAAAAAAAAAAAAAAAAAATTATTATATATATATATATATATATATATATCTTGATAAAATCACACGGGAAAATGGAAACAACGGAGTACCATTTTCCATGTGTATCAAATATATCGTTTCATTATTTATATAATATATATATATATATATATATATATATATATATATATATATATATATATATATATATATATATATATATATATATATATATATATATATATATAATACGTACACTTTTAGTAGCATCTAATATTTTCTTTGGCATCTTATATCACGATTTATGTGCATAGGAGTGTCAATTTAGGTGTACGTAAAAAACAAACCATTTAAATACCTGACACATTGATCTGTACATTGATGACGATCTAGATCCATCCAGGTAAGACTTTTCTCACATGGCTTTACGTCTCGCCAAATAAAACTAATATTTCTAACATATATAGGAGGCAATAGGTTATTTTCCACCATTTAAAAGTGCAAATAATATAGAATTCTTTTATCCTCGTACAACAACACACTGTGCGTATGGTGTAGTAAATCTCTCATGGGAATTCATCAACTAGTTCAGGTCACATTTATCCATAGTGTTATACATGACCACAACGAATCCATTTATATACTGGTATCTTATCGCCTTTATCGAAACCTTAAATACACAATAAACAAAGACGTCAATGCAGAGTTTATATGAGAGAAGGCTTCATCATATCCAGCCAGTATCCAGTACCGGGGTCCTTCCAGTGTCACCCAGTACCGGGATCTTACCAGTGTCACCCAGCACCAGGGACCTACCAGTGTCACCCAGCACCAGGGACCTACCAGTGTCACCCAGCACCAGGGACCTACCAGTGTCACCCAGCACCAGGGACCTACCAGTGTCACCCAGCACCAGGACTCCCAGTGCACACACCAGGGACCTACCAGTGTCAGCACCAGGGACCCACTAGTGTCACCCACCCAGCACCAGGGACCCACCAGTGCCACCCAGCACACCAGGGACCTACCAGTGTCACCCAGCACCAGGAACTACCAGGGCACTACCAGTGCCACCCAGCACAGGGACCTACCTGTGTTACCCAGCACCAGGGACCTACCAGTGTCACCCAGCACCAGGGACCTACCCACCCAGCACCAGGGACCTACCTGCCACCCAGCACCAGGGACCCACCAGTACACCTACCAGTGTCACTAGACCTGGCCTACCAGTGTCACCCAGCACCAGGGACCTGTAGTGTCAGCACCAGGGACCTACCAGTGCCACCCACTAGGGACAGTGCCCAGCACCAGGGACCTGTGGCACCAGCCAGCCCAGCACCAGGGACTCTAACAGTGTCACCCAGCACCAGGACCTACCAGTGCTACCAGTGCCACCCAGCACTGTCACCCAGTACCGGGGACCTACCAGTGCCTACCAGGTCACCCAGCACCAGGGGACCTACCAAGCACCAGGGACTCACTAGCACCCAGCAATCAGGACAGCACCAGGGACCTCACCCAGGGGACTCAGTGTGTCACCTGGCACCAGCACCTACCAGTGGTTTCACCAGCACCAGGACCTACCAGTGTCAGCATAGTGCACCCAGCACCAGGGACCTACCAGTGCCACCTCCAGCAACCTACCAGTGTCACCCAGCACCAGGGACCTACCAGCCACTCCAGCACCAGGGACCCACCAGTGTCACCCAGCACCAGGGACCACATGGCAGCACCAGTGGGACCTACCAGTGTCACCCAGCACCAGGACCCTGTGTCACCAGCACCAGGACCTACCAGTGCCACCCCCAGCACCCTACTATGTCACCCAGCACCAGGGACCTTCCAGTGTCACCCAGCACCAGGGACTCCACTCCAGTGGGGCACCCAGCACCAGGGACCTACCAGTGTCACCCAGCACCAGGGACCTACCAGTGCCACCAGGGACCTACCAGTGTCACCCAGCACCAGGACCTACCAGCATCAGTCACCCAGCACCCTAGGACCTGTCCACCCAGCACCAGGGACCCACCTCCAGCACCAGGGACCTACCAGTGTCACCCAGCACTGGGACCCACCAGTGCCTGTGTCACCCAGCACCAGGGACCCAGTACCCAGCACCAGGGACCTACCCTACCAGTGTCACCCAGCACCAGGGACCTACTGAAACAATGTACCCAGCACCAGGGGACCTACCTGTGTCACCCACCAGGGACACCAGGGACCAACCAGTACCAGTGTCACCCAGCACCCACCAGGGACTCACCAGTGCCACTCATCAGGGCACCAGGGACCTACCAGTGTCACCCAGCACCAGGGGGACCTACCACCAGTGTCACCCACAATTAGGACCTACCAGTGTCACCCAGCACCCAGGGGACCTGGTGTCACCAGGCCTACCAGTGCCACCCAGCACCAGGGACCTAGTGCCACAGCACCAGGGACTGTCACCCAGCACCACCAGGGACCCACCCAGTGCCACCCAGCACCAGGGACACCAGCGTCACCCAGCACCAGGGACCTACCAGTGCCACCTCCAGCACCAGGACTGGACCTACCAGGTCACCCAGCACCAGGGACAGTGTCACCCAGCACCAGGGACCCCAGTTACCCAGCACCAGCCTACCAGTGCACCCAGCACCAGGGACCTACCAGTGTCACCCAGCACCAGACCCACCAGTGCCACCCAGCACCAGGGACAGTGTCACCACCAGGGGACCCACCAGTGTCACCAGGGACCTTGTCACCCAGGGGACCTACCAGTGTCACCCAGACCAGCCTACCAGTGCCACCCAGCACCAGGGACTCCACCAGTGTCACCCAGCACCAGGGACACCAGTGTCACCCAGGGACCTACCAGTGTCACCCAGCACCAGGGACTGTGTCACCCAGCACCAGGGACTCAGTGCCCAGCACCAGGGACTACCAGCACCCAGCACCAGGGACTACCAGTGTCACCCACACCAGGGACCTAACCAGTGTCACCCAGCACCAGGGACCTACCAGTGTCACCCAGCACCAGGACCTACCAGTGTCACCCTACCAGTGTCACTCTACCAGGGACTCACCAGGTGCACCCAGCACCAGGGACCTACCAGTGCCACCCAGCACTAGGACCTACCAGTGTCACCCAGCACCAGGGACTCACCCAGCACCAGGAGCAGTGTCACCCAGCACCAGGGACCTCACCAGTAGTCACCCAGCACCAGGGACTTACCAGAAAGACCAGGGACCTACCAGTGTCACCCAACACCAGGGACACCAGTGCACCAGACCTCAGTCACCCAGCACCAGGGACCTACCAGTGTCACTCACCCAGCACTACCTGTGTCACCCAGCACCAGGGACCCACTAGTGTCACCCAGCACCAGGGACTCTACAGCTGTCACCCAGCACCAGGGACCTACCAGTGTCACCCAGCACCAGGACCCACCAGTGTCACCCAGCACCAGGGACCTACCAGTGTCACCCACTCAGCCACCAGTGGTCTCAGGGACCACCGTGCCAGGGCACCAGGGCCCTACCAGTGTCACCTAGCACCAGGGACCTACAAGTGTCACCCAGCACCAGGGCCCTACCAGTGTCACCCAGCACCAGGGACCTACCAGTGTCACCCAGCACCAGAGCCCTACCAGTGTCACCCAGCACCAGGGACCTACCAGTGTCACCCAGCACCAGGGACCTATCAGTGCCACCCAGCACCAGTGACTTACCAGTGTCACCCAGCACCGGGGTGTTGTCAGTGTATAGTCTGAGTATGTTGTGTCGTTCACTACACTATAGTACAGTAGACATTATATGTTGTGTCAGCCTCTATATGCTCACACCACAGCAATACTAACGGAACACAAAAGTTCAATAGACACGCAGGATCCTGGTTGTGTTGGTGCAGGTGGTAGTGACCCTCGTTAGGTGACAACAACACCGTCATCAGATGTGTTTAGGACTTGATGGGTGATATTATCGTTAAATTAAGTGCAGTTGTAGGGTGTTAGATTACAGAAGATCCACACACACAAAAAACGAGATAAAAACTTATAGTGTTGTTCTGGGTAACAACCAAACAGACTTATGACCTTTTGAGTTGACGTTATTAAACTACTGAAGTTATTTAGGGCAAAGTGATAAGATATCTGTGAGGCACAAGTTGAAGAGTTAACAGATATTAGCGCTCAGGGGTAGAAGATAGCCCCCACAAGTTCACTTAAGAGTTCTCAGTCAGCAGCACAAGTGACCCTGAAATCATTGACGAACTTCCTTTCCACAAGAGGCAAGGGATATGTGTAGCGTTCTCGTTATCATGCTGCTTATTTTTACAAATCTAATAAACTTTAAAATAAAATATTATGTGTAAATTTAGGTTCGGTTTGGGAGTTAGGTTTGGTTAAGTTAGGTAAGATTTGGTTTGATTAAGTTAGGTAATGTTACGTTTAGTTAGGTATAGTTTAGTTAGGTTAGGTAGGATTAGGTTAAGATAGGTTATGTTAGCTTAAAAGTTAGTTTAGGTTAGGTTTGGCTTAGTGTACAGTATGTAAGGTCAGGTTTCGTATAGATTGGTTCTGTCAGATAATTCTAGTTAGTTTTGTTTAACATGTGTCTTAGCTAATATTCCTACTTATTTCTATGTTATTGTGCTATTATGGATATTTCTTATATTATATGTAAAGGTTTATACCGTCATTTATGCTCGTGTTTATGTTTTTGTCAGACTAAAAAACTACTGCTTCTTAGTGTGTCGATAACAGTGGCTGACAAAAGCCGGCTCGACCTAACGGATCCAATTAATTAAGTCACGGGTCAGTAGAACGAGTCGGAATGTCTCTTATCTTTCTAATTATCTTCGCTCGACCGATCATCAGCTTCCCTGAGCTTCTGGAAAATTATAGCCAATTAGAATTCTGAGTTGTCCTACATAAAAATTCCGCCCCGTGTTTACATAGGGAGACTCACTCAACGCCTCCAGTGTTATCACGATGCTTGGGTGTACTGTCCGCGTTACAGGACCTTACAACATTCGCTGCCAAGTATTTTGCCGCTTTGTCTCTCTTTTTATATCAGGTAAGGTAACCTCTAGGCCTGGGGGTATTGTATCACCTCTCATGACTAATGTTATGTACGCCTCCCTGTGTGCACGTGGTATCTCTCGGCTCTTCATATATATGTTGTTTATGTGGCATTAACTGTGAGCTGGTATGTTGCTATGCTTCATGTTAACTGTCTCCGTAACTGTTCTTTATGAATTTGTTTTGTGTGTTGTTGTCTTAGACTTAAGTATAATTAGTTATAAGTTAATTATAGTTACTGTTTTTACTTATTCCTTTACTACTCTATTCTTACCCTTGTCGGAAGTATTATATTTGAGAAAACTAGTTTATTTTCTATGGTATATAGAGAAGTAGAGCTGACCACCTCTAACGGAACCCTATCTCTTCACAGCTAGACAGCCACAGGTCATAATAATATAGGTTTTCTTGGTCAATGACCAAGGTTTGGTTTCAATCAGATATTTTTAGTTAGTCTTTGGTACGATCTATGTTGGTGTTTCCAGAACCCAGCCTAACCAAATACGAGTATACACTGCTATTAAAAACTCATAATTCATTAATATTGTAAAATTACGCGCGATAACTATGATGTAACGGGGGATTTTAGAGCTACGAGTATATGTAATAACTGCATGTTTATCGGAGGAGGGAGTCATGTCAGGGTAAGGAAGACATATTTTATCCTAAGTAACCATGACTCTAAAACTCGAATCTGTAATCATGGCGGGAACATCACAGGGATTAAGGTATTACAGTACATATGGATTGGCATGTTCGTCTGTTGGTGAATACTTTGTTAGTGCCCAGAGACAAATCCCTGTTTCGGAAAGGGTGGCCTTAACCTTTAACCCTTAACAGGACAAAGGGGTCTCTTAGTTGAAAAATATCGTCTGGCGTCAGCCAGAATTAAATTCCTAAGTGTGGAGATGTCCTTCAAAGGGTTAACTAAGTGACCCCCAAATGTATAAACAAATCACCTGTGTGTGCTGGGATTCGAACGCGGACCACCGTAGTTAGCAGTCAGGCAGCAGTCCTCTGGTCCACGATGAGCTAAAAAGCCACCTTTCCTTAGTAGCTCAGTTCCTGTTCAAGGTTCCACGCCGACAATTGCGGCCTGATGTGATACGGCAGCCCGCCCACACACAGGTCACAGAGAGCTTTTAATATAATTCCGACAGAACTGTGTTTGCGACTATAAATTATGAGAACCTGTAATATACACAGGTAATTGAATTGAAATACCTGCGCCCATAAGTTCATCGAGGTACGACTCAGAAGTTGAAATTTTAATAATGACAACAAATACCACGACCTTCGTCCTACTGACTCCAGGATAATTTGGAACATTCCTCCTTGTAGGGGACAGGCGAAAGTGAAAGTGTTTTTCATAGGCCTGACGGCCCACCAAGGGCAGCGCAGATACAAAACATTCACTATTAAGACTTGGTACACATGGTGGGGTTGTGTAGACGGCACAAACCAATGACTCTCAGGACTGGAGACGAGCACTATATACACTCGTCCAAACTACATAAGGGGATTTTTACTTGCGTAATATTATGTTCATCGGTACAGGGAAACTTGTGTCACTTGTTTGTGTATCAACATGTTAACAGACGGACGACAGACTGACAGATACACAATCATATAACAATATGTGGCGGTGTGGGAGCTGCTGCTGGCTGTGTGGTCACCAACCCCCACCACCTGAGGTATATCTTCCCTGGTAGCTCCTGTAACACACCTACACCTGCCTAGTTCACGTGTTGGTGCGACACCCCAGGCTCCTGTGGCCATCACCTGTAACACACCTACACCTGCCTAGTTCACGTGTTGGTGCGACACCCCAGGCTCCTGTGGCCATCACCTGTAACACACCTACACCTGCCTAGTTCACGTGTTGGTGCGACACCCCAGGCTCCTGTGGCCATCACCTGTAACACACCTACACCTGCCTAGTTCACGTGTTGGTGCGACACCCCAGGCTCCTGTGGCCATCACCTGTAACACACCTACACCTGCCTAGTTCACGTGTTGGTGCGACACCCCAGGCTCCTGTGGCCATCACCTGTAACACACCTACACCTGCCTAGTTCACGTGTTGGTGCGACACCCCAGGCTCCTGTGGCCATCACCTGTAACACACCTACACCTGCCTAGTTCACGTGTTGGTGCGACACCCAGGCTCCTGTGGCCATCACCTAGTTCAACACACCCTGTGGCCATCACCTGTAACACTACACCTGCCTAGTTCACGTGTTGGTGCGACACCCCAGGCTCCTGTGGCCATCACCTGTAACACACCTACACCTGCCTAGTTCACGTGTTGGTGCGACACCCCAGGCTCCTGTGGCCATCACCTGTAACACACCTACACCTGCCTAGTTCACGTGTTGGTGCGACACCCCAGGCTCCTGTGGCCATCACCTGTAACACACCTACACCTGCCTAGTTCACGTGTTGGTGTGACACCCCAGGCTCCTGTGGCCATCATCAGTAACAGTAGTTTTCGTGTTACTGCTGACAGGATTTATGGAAGGAAGCTGGTGCTCTCAAACTGGCGGGTATTATGACCTTACCTACAGCACACCCCACCTACACTCCTCTCACAACACGCAACAATATTTATCTCTTATCAACAAAAGTTCTCGTTGGAATTTTTTTTCAGAGAATTTTAAACCTCCAATAATACTCCATACTAAACTCTTCATGGTCCTTGTGTTACTGACATCAGTTGAGGTGATAAATGTATACAGATATTCTAATGTTTGTTTAATTATGTATTTCGATATTTTGCTATGTTATTTTTTAGATGGAGGACAATTGTTCCACGCAGTGTGAGTGGGAGCAGAGTGAAGTTAATCAGTCGATCAACAGCATATCCAACAAAATATTGCCGGATTTCCAGGTGGATCAGCTTGATAACTAAGTTTAGTAGAAAACTTAACAAATTGTCAATAGTTCCTTCTGTTTAGAGTTGTATTAGTGTGTGGGAGGCCTATGTGGTGTGGCCAGTGGCCACCTGGTCACCTGTGTCCTACACCATGCTCAGGAAGGTCGCTCCACCTTCGTGGGTGGATCACCTGCCCAACACCTGATTATTGGCGCCCACACCTGCCGCCTGCCACCAAACCCACACACAAGCCTACACATCTACACATATGCAAATATCCATAACACAAATATTCCAACATCTCATTATATTAAGGGGCAAAATTACACACTAGAGCCATTAATGTGTATGTACAGTTGCAGACGGAGGCTCACGTTGCCCTGTGTGTGTGTCTCCAACTCCTGCAGTAGCCAAGCA